GGCTGCACTTCTGCCCAGCACTCATTACCTGGCAGTCACTGTCTCCTGTCTGTCTCCTCCCTTCCTCCTGTATGTAGGAAACACATCTTGTGCTTGCCTGCTCCCCCAGGTGCCTGGTATGGTACTGAGTGGACACACAAGGGATATTTGCAAAATGAATAAGGGAAAGAATAAAATTTACCTTCAAATTCAGTGTATGATCAAGGTAACATTTAAAATCAGTGGATTAGAAGTGTATCACTCAATAGATGATGTTGCACTGACGCGAGGTGGGGTGGGGGGTGCGGAACTGGATTTCCTACTTCATACTCCACACAGAAATAAACTCCAGATGGCTTAGAAATTTAATGTAAAAAATAAAATAAAACCATAAAAGTCCTAGAAGGAATCTTGGGGTGGGGACAGCCTTTCTAAGTATGTCATGAAAACCAGAAACCATAAAAGAAAAGAGAGAGAAATTAAAAACTTCTGTATGGCAAAACCCACCATAACTGTCATTAGACAAATGACAAATGAGGAAGAGTTATTTGTACCACATATGACAGCCAAAGGCTTAATCTGCCTAAAATAAAAAAGGGCTCCTTTCAAAGCAAGCAATAGGAAAATGGGCCGGCAAAATAGGGAACAGACAATTCACAAGTGAAGACTTACTGAAGTCCATTAATATATGAAGGAAATGCAACTATTCCTACCCCTCCATCAGATATGCAAAGGTTAAAATGGATCTGCAAAACCTGGGTTACGTGGGATGTGGGAAAATGGTTACTCTCATGTCCCAGGAGCCATAGGGGTAGGAGTATTAATTGCTGTGACCTTTCTGGGATGGCGAAATATGTAACAAAATGAACAGAGAGGACTTCCTTTGACCCAGCAATACTGCCATTTAAAAATTACTTTTATTATCTGATATATAAATGGTATACATGGATAGTATATAAAATGTGATGTATATAAACATCTATCCACCAGCCAGCACCATTATCTATGACTTCTATCTTCAGTCTTGATACTCAGGATGACCTGTCCTCGCTTGAGATGAAAGGAAAATTTCTCTGCTTGTGCCCTTGATCACATCTCTTGCCACCTACTCAGGGACATCTGGCTAACATTTTTCCCTTTCTCCCGAGTCATCAATAATTTCCTCTTGGCTGGATCATTCTATAATTCTTCCCACTATAAAAAAAAAAAGCTTGCTCTTGGCGTGCGACCTAGTTCACGGCGACATGGATCGGAATCGTCAGTAAATACGGACCCATTATAACACCTCCCTCAGGAAAATGGTGAAGAAAATTGAAATCAATGAGCATGCCAAGTACACTTGCTCCCTCTTTGGCAAAACCAAGATGAAGAGGCAAGCCGTGGGGATCTGGCACTGTGGTTCCTGCATGAAAACAGTCGTTGGTGGTGCCTGGACCTACAATACCACTTCTGCCGTCACAGTAAAGTCAGCCATCAGAAGATCAAAGGAATTGAAAGACCAGTGGAAGCTCCACAGTTTGAAACATTGTGAGCCTATAATAAATGGGTTAATTTATATGACAAAAAAAAGCAAAAGCATTTTCTTGATCCCACCTTCCCTTCCATTTATTTATTTATTTATTTATTTCCCTTTCCCCTTCTTAGTAACAATCCTGAAGATAATTATCTATACTCCTTGTCTCTGATTTCTCTTCTATCTCTTCCAGAATATCACAGAAATGGCTCTTGCCAATGCCACCAGTGCTCTCATCTTGTTAAATCCAATAATCAGTTTAAGTTCTCATTTTACTAGACATGTGAACAGCATTTGACATAAGAAATGCTCCTTCTGGAAACACTTTTCCCTTGGCTTCCAGGACTCCTTACTCTTCTACTTTCCCTCCTATCCCACTGGCCCCATTTAAGTCTCCTTTGGCCTCTTTTCATTGTCTGAATCTCCTGTCTTTAAATACCATCTGAAGGCTGGTGACTCCCAAACTTACAATTCCAAGTCAGCCTTTCCCCTGAATTTCAGATTCCTATATCCCAAGGTCTATTTGATATCTCCACTTGCATACCTACTAGGCATTGTACTTGGTGTCCCAAACCAAACTCCTTACCAGCCCTTCCAAGTCCATTCTTCCGCAGCTGTCCCCACCAAAATTGATAGCCACATATCCTTCTATGTGGCTGGGGCCAAAAACCTTGATGTGATCCTAGACTCCTCACTTTCTTTCACTCCTCACATCCTATCTGTCAGGAAATCCTCCAGCCTCACCTTCCCAATAGATCCAGAAATCTCCCTACTTTTCCCCAACTCCACTACTTGGTGAATTTCTAGTGGTTTTGCTGTTAACACTGCTCTAAACATTTGTGTACACATCTCCTGATTACATGGGCAAGAAATTCTCCAGATGAATGGTTGTCAAACTTTGGTGGGCATCAGAATCCCCTTGAGAGCTTGTTATCGTGCTGGGCCTCACTCCCAGGTTTTCTGATTTGTTTAGGAATCGTTTGCATTTCTAACAAGATCCCAGCTGATGCTGACACTACTCGTTAGGAAATCACACCTGGAGATCCACTGCTTTAGGGGTATATGATACCCAGGAGTAGAAAGCCTGGGTCATAGGATACGTGCATGTTCAAACTGATAACAGAGCATTGATTTTCTTTCCTGTCAGCAATGTCTGAGAATGCCCAGTGCTCCATATCCTTGCCAACACTTGATGTTGTCAGATGTGTTATTGTTGCCAATGTAGTGGATGCAGTCTTAGCTCATTGCAGTTTTGAGTTGTATTACTAGAATTTATGCTCAGGTGGCAACTGCATGGGGTAGGTGAGAAAGACAAATACTAGTATGCTCATTGCAATATTTTTTATGATATTAAAAACTGGTAATGCCCTAGCCGGGGGTCAGTAGGTTGGGTGTCATTCTGTGCACCAAAGGGTTGCTGGTTCCATTCCTAGTCAGGGCACACACTTGGGTTGCAGGCTCGATCCCTGGTCCCTGGTAGGGGGCATGCAGGAGGCAGCCAATCAATGTTTCACCCTCACATCAATATTTTTTCTCTCTCTTTTTCCTTCTCCCTTCCCCTCTCTAAAAATCAATAAGAATATTTTTTAAAATGCTAACATTTAGGTTACATTTTTATCCATAGGTGTGTTCAAAATTTATCACAGGTTAATATGCAGCTGATCAAGATGATGATTATAGGTCTCTAGTTAGGGACCTGGGAAATGCCTATAATATGTTCTTAAACAAGTGGGGAAAGCAGTTTACATAAGATACATGACAGCAGGTATAGCATTACTTCATTTCTGTAAAATTGTCCGAAGGCATTGAGAAACACCTTTAATAATGTTAACACTTGTTATCTTTAGGAGATGGATTTGGAGTTACTTTTACTTTTTTAAAAAATGTTTTCTGTAGTGTTTGTTTTTTTAAGTATACATATCTCTTTTTCTTAACAAAGTGATTTTTAAAAATTACACCCTTATATTTGTGTTTGTATATGCTAGAAAGTATCTGGAAGGTTTCACATGACACTGGTTTGAGCAGCTGCCGCTAGGCAGTGGGTTTGTGTGGGCTGAGTGGGAAGGTACTTGTACTTTGAGTTTTCTCTTTATTCCATTCTCCACTCTTTGAATTTTTATGACAGTATTACTTTCGTAATAAAAAAAAACACTAATGAAAACAAAAAAGAAAAGAGAGCTATTCTTAACACCCAAGCCAGCCCTGTCAACCCCTGCCAGCCCCTGCTGCTATTGGCCCAGCCCAGCCCACCAAGCCATGCTGAGGCCCCTGCCGACTTCACAGGCAGCCCACTCAAATCGTGCCAGACCTCCTCTGGCTGAGGAGCTCTGGAGCTGCGGAGCCAGGGCCAGTAGTTGGGCTGCTCAGGAGGGAACTCCTCCTGCTTCTGGGTGATGCATTGAGCCAAGAGTAATATGTTACCCCCACAAAGCCTGCAGCTGTGGGTTCCCCCACTGTCTGTGCTGGAAGGAGAGGCCAGGCCCCCAGGGGGCCCAGAGAGAAGCCACTAACACAGCCATGGAACTGACTGACTGTCACAGGTGGGAAACTCCAATAATAAACCGGTGTTTATAACAAAGCACTTTTAAGTCTGTAAAGGTCACTGTTAAGAAGGAATAACTCTGCAAAATCAGAAAATGTAGAGATGGTGAACGTGAACTCTTCTACAACAAACTTGTACGACAGAATCTGGGGCTACCCAGAATTGAGAAAGAATTAATTTGACCTAAAACAGAAACTTCACACAGAAGGAATTGGGTTCACATGGAACTGTCTACAGCTGTTCTTTTCTCAAAGGCCACTTTTCTCAAAGGTGAGCTTTCTCCTCACTGTAGCCCCTCTGAGCTATCAGCGATTGCCATGTCAACATATGTGCTCCCTTCACAGAACACATCATGGTTTTTCTCTGTCTCCCCCATAGCCGGTGACCTCTAGAAGGAAGAAACCAGCTCCCATTCCTCCCCTCCTGGCACACACTAAGCACTCAGTTCATGCTGGAGCAATGGAATGGGTTCCTCTCCAGTATAGAAATAAAATGGAGATGACATTCTGTAAATGCTCCCTTTTCAAAAAGGGAGACAGCTGGCCGAGAGACAGCTGGTATCTCAAGGTAGAGGATGACAACTGGGTGTCCCCTGGCTTCACTGTCCAATCTGCAGTGGCCCAGCATGTCCATCAAGCAGGTGGCACACGGGGCTCACCTCGCACTGCTGGATTCTAGACCAAGGCAGTCTCCGTGGACAAGTGGGTCCCTCCCCAAGGAGTAACTTGGAGGTGACAATCTCTTGGATATATTCTTTCTCGTTAATAAAACAGCTGCACAAAACAAAAACTTAAACCCAGTGGTGGCACTCGACCCTCCCCCACCCCATCACACCGTGGATGGCAGGGCAGCCAGCCTTCAGCTGTCTTCGTACAATTACTACATTTGACCACTCTTAACATTTGTGTAATAATATTTATTCACAAGTAAATATGTGGTGTTTTATTTCTTTTTCTTTTTTTTCCATTTTGTTTCCTCTGACAGGATACAAGACAAACACCCAGCTTGCTTGAGTTTTAAAAGGTATTTCCTTTGCCCTACATGAATGACCAATACAGTGGGGCCTTGACTTATGAGTTTAATTCGTTCTGAGACCGAGCTCGTTAAGGAGCTCGTTAACTCAAATTACTCTATCAACTCAATGCAAAAAATCGGCCAAGAGACAGCTGGTATCTCAAAAAACTCGTTAGTCGGGACACTCGTAAGTCAAGGCCCCACTTTGAAGACATTAAGTCCAACTGGCAAAGTAAAAAGCAGGTAATGTGGTGTGCTTTAAAAACATGTTAAACTGTATTTTTTAAATTTACATTTTAAAAGTCAAAATTATCAAAATATCAAGATTACATAAAATTCCATGAAGTCACCCCAGAAGGTGTCCCCTGAACCCCAGACCCTACTGTCTCCTTGTGATACAGGACAGAGGAAAATGACACCTGGAGGCAGGCTTCAGGTAGCCCACGTATATGTCCCAAGTGCCTGCCTGTGCCAAGCCCAGTTCCCAGGTGGTTCTGTCAGGTAGGGGAGAACAAATGCCCAAGAGGCTTAACAAGTGACTGAGTCCTGAGGGAAGAGCTAGTGTCAGAGGGAAGAGGAGCCACTGGCACGGGGTGGGAACCAGTTGGGAGAGGGAAGAGGGACATTGGAGGAAAATTGAAAGAGATGGTCCTGGGAAGAGTAGGTGGGAGGGGAGCCTGGATATGGCAGAGACTGTACCCATTTAGAGCGGATTTCCATGATTCCTTGAGCTTCAGGTCTAAAGGAAGGAGGAGGCAGAGGTGAAAGGTGAAATCATGTTGTTCTGGAGTGGCTGAGTGCTCCTTTGAGTTACAGGTTAATGACTACAAAAAGGAGGGAGAGAGGGAAAGAAGGAGGAAATCTGTTGTCAGTGAAATGCCACCATCAGGTCAAGGCTTTTTGTAGCTTATCCCTACATGTAAAAGTTGGATTCACAGCTTTTTTTTTTTTTTTCAAGACAAATGTCTTTATTCCTTTATTATATTTCCCCAGGGGGAAAGGCAGGGAGGGGGACAGAAAGTCAGCATGTGCTTTAAAATAGAGAAAAGAATATCAAATGCCATAAACCAACCTTAAAGCGGGGGGAGGGGGGGCTCTTGCTCCATGAGCTTGGGAAGGAGGGGAAGAGGTCAGCAAAATGGCATGGGCGGGGCCCCTCCCTATGAAGTCAAGACTCCACATCAAGCTAAGTAAATGTGGAGTCACATTTGTCTGTCTTCTATTAGCTCATCTTGTGGCCACTTTGATGTAGGTTTCTTGCACCAACAAAAATGTTCCTCTGTGGCTGGGATATACTTTCATCTCCCTTTTCCCTGGCCTCCACTCCCAGCTTCGGCAAGGGAGGCCCCCACTGGCCCTCTCCTCCTTTGGTCTGAAGGGGTTAAAATGTTTGACCCATCCATAGAGAGAAGGATAGATGCTTGGTGTGCATTAGAACAAGGTATGGGAATGGGAGAGGGGGGAGAGAGAGAGAGAGCGAGCCTCTTTGCTTTAGTTACCTGCACAAAGGTTTTATTCAGGAATTAGAGAAGCCATGGGAAATAACTGAGGAAGGGCATGGGGTAGGAATGTAATCTGAGAGGCAGGTAATAAAATTGGTTTAGAAGATAGAGACTCTCCAGGCCAGTGTGGCTCAGTGGTTGAGCATCGCCTTATGAGCCAGGAGATCACAGTTCCATTCCTGGTCAGGTATATGCCCTGGTTGCGGGCAGTGTACCGACAGGCAGAAGGCAGGCGATCAATGATTTTCTCTCATCATTGATGTTTCTATCTCTCTCCCCCTCTCCTGTCCTCTCTGAAATCAATAAAAATATATTTTTAAAAAAGATAATGAGACAGAGGGAATGTTGAGGACAGAGGCCAAATGTGCCAGGGCAGAGGCAGCTTTTGGTGGACCCTGAAGGCCACAGATGGCATGGCCTCACCTAGGCCATATGGGAAGGGTTGTGTGTCTGTAGAATGATAAGGAGGGCCAGGGAGGAGCCCTGCCCAGCTCCATGAGGAAAGAGCCTACAAAGAAGGGGTCAGAGATCAGGCAATAACAGTTACATTTGTCAAGATTCATCTGGTTGCAAGGAGCAGAAACCTACTAACCCAGCCTGAGCAGGGAGCAGAGGGGAAATGGAATACCCACTGGGGATGACCTGCTTGCTCCCCAAATGATACCAGGAGCCATTCGAAAACAATTGTTCCCACTAAGAGTCAGGTACTTTTCGAATCCCTGGTTGAGAACCTGAGGCATTAAATGCTCTTACAGGCTAAAGACAGCCAGCAATAGTTGCGGCCAGATACCTTCCACCAGGATGTACAAAAGGTGGCAATACAGGCCTCAAAGCATCCCTATGAGATAAATCCTATGAGTATTCCCATTTTACAGATGAGGAGACTGAAGCCCACAGTCACACAGCAAGCACGAGGTGGATCTGAGTCGGGCTGTCTCGCTTCAGAGCCTGGACTCCTAACTTCCATGTCTATTACCTCACTGAGCTCAGACTGCTCAATTAGCAGGTTACATGCAGAATCAGGAACCAGGGGGAATTTGTGGGAGTCGTGCTAGCCATACTAATAGTGAAGCTAATATTGTAGGATTATTATGTGCCAGGCACAATGCTAAGTGCTTCAGTTAGTGGGTGTCCTGAGAAAATCCTTCAGGGGGCTTGGATACCCTTTTTTCCTGCCACTTTGTAAGGAAGCTTTCTTCTTTTGGTCAAAATTAAATTATTGGAATCCTGCAGGCTTTAACTATAAGAGAGGCTTTTGCAACCTGCTGCTTATGCCAGAGTTTAAACATCTGTGCAAGATACCACATTTGAAAAAGAAGCATATGATTGGCTTTTAGCAGGATATTTCTAAACAGATCAGGGGATGACTTGCATTTGGGCAGCCTGACCTTGAATATCTGACTGCTTACAAAGAGAATGAGGACTGCACCTCACCAGCCCCTCCAGGAAATGGCCCATGTCTGTCTGTCTTCGGTGAAGAGGCAGGGGGAGATGGTGGCTCACTCCAACTGAGCCCTCTAGCAGAAGCATTATTACTTCTGGGAATGAGCAAGGCAGAGCTGACTCTGTGGACTGCAGGCTTCCCAAGGGAATCCACCCTTGTTCCTCACAGGTCTTCAGCACATTTTGGGCCCTTCCTGGAAGCCAGAAAAACAGTGACCCTTTCCTCTCCTATAGGCCAGAATGCTACCATGGTCAAGATGAGGACATTGGAGCTCAGAGCCATGAGGGCATTTGCTCAAGGTGACACAGCTGAGGAGTGTGTCATTTCACAGCAGTCCAAGGCAGCCAGAGCCTTTTAGGAAAGTAACTAGCTTGCTGAGGAGACACAGCTACCTGGCTCTGAAAGCCCTAGAAGGCACGAGATGTTGGGATAACTTTTGAAATATACACATGCTCAGGCTCCTCCCGCAGAACTCTTAATTCTCAACTTAGAAATGAGGTCTAACGATTCCAATTCACATCTTTAGCAAATGTCCCTGAAGAATCAGGTATGCGGCAAAGATTGAGGACTGTGGCTTTCAAGTGAGGGGAATTTTCAGGGAAGTAATGCAGGGGTAGAGCCCAAGCAGTTGTGAGGCCAAGAACCTTCCTCAACTCCGATTCTCAGCCTTGGATCCTGTGGCATAAAGGCATCAAAGGTACAATTGAATGATGTGCACACTGATTTAAAATGCATTTCATGGAGGGTGGGTGAATGGGAAGAGATGAACCAAAGAATGTGTATGCATATATGCATAACCTGTGGACACAGACAATGGGGTGGTGAAAAGCTGGTTGAGGGAGGGTGTATGGGGATAGGCTAGAAGAGTTCAATGGGAGTAGGGGAAAAGGGACATGTAATACTTTCAACAATAAAAAAAATAAAAAATAAAAAAGCATTTCATTAGAAAATTTGACTGTTGGTGTGCTACTATTCTCAAATTGAATTTCACCATTTACATTAAGGCCATTGGCCCTCCAAGACCTGGTTTGCAATTGCACCCCTGCACCGATACCCTAGGTTCTGATATAAGATCCTTTGCCTATGGTCACTTGGATAATATTTTTGTTTGCCTGTTTTGCTTTGTTGCTTTCTGCATTTATGCTCATCAGTGGGATTGGCCTGTCATTTTCCTTTTCCATTCTGTTCCTATTAGGGAACCTTCCTTCTTTTTCTAGTCTCTACAGAGTATTCTTTTTGTAAGACTGGAATCTTTTCCTTGAATGGTTGGTGGAATTCACCACTGAAACCATGTGGGCCTGGAAATTTTGTTTTGGTGGGAGATGTATCAGTCAGAGTTCAACCAGAGAAACAGAATCAGTAGGAGATATATAGAGATGTATTGCCAAGAATTGGCTACATGATGGTGGGGACTGGCTAGGAAGCCCAAAATCTATAGCACTGGCTGTGGAACCCTCTGGCAGGAGCTGAAGCTTCCATCCACAGGAGGAATTTCTTCATCAAGAAAACATCAGCTCTGCTCTTAAGTCCTTTCAATGAACTGAATCAGGGCCACACTATTCCAGGGTTATCCAGGATAATCTCCCTTAAAGTCAATTGATTATGGGCTTTAATCACATCTATAAAATACCTTCTTAGCAGTACCTAGAAGAGTGTTTGATGGAGTAACTGGGGACTATAATCTAGACAAGTTGGCATGTAAAATTGACCGTCATGGCCCTAACCGGTTTGGCTCAGTGGATAGAGAGTCAGCCTGTGGACTAAAAGGTCCCAGGTTCGATTCCAGTCAAGGGCATGTACCTTGGTTGTGGGCACATCCCCAGTAGTGGGTGTGCAGGAGGCAGCTGATCGATGTTTCTCTCTCATCGATGTTTCTAACTCTATTCCTCTCCCTTCCTCTCTGTAAAAAGTCAATAAAATATATTTAAAAAAATTGACCATCATGAGGTTGGTGAGGGGCGGGGGCTTTTAATTGCTAATTGAATTTTTAAAGAGTTCTTACCAAAGAATAAATTTTGGTTTTGTCAATCCTCTCTGTCGTATTTTTTCTTTTTCATTAATTTCTGTCCTTACGTTCATTAATTCATGTTTTCTTTGGGTTAATCGCTCCTCTCCTTCT